CACGTCCACGCAGATCAACCTAGCCATAGGATAGGGGAAGTCTTTCCCTACCCGATGAGGATATTGGTTTGCTTGGGCGAGCCTTGAATTTCTAGAAATCATCGGGAGAAGTCATTGTTTACAAAAGCTGTTAGGCCCTAATTCCAGCTCTATCTAGAATTATGCATCGATCCTGCTCCAGTTTGCACTTCTCTAGAGCAGCTATGGGTCAAAATAACGACGCCTCGTAGATCAATAAGTATTGGCGCTATGTATCTACCTCCAGACCGAAAATCTGATTCGGCCCATGTGTGTTGTGAATGGGTGCGATATCCTACGCAGGTGTGGAAGCTGCCTTCCTGCACATTCGGTTGCCGTCAATGGATGGCAATCGATGTCCGTCGGTGATTGGCACCATGGTGGGTATATAAATGGTGATACAGCTTTGTTACTATATAGGCGAGGAGGTCGCGGGGGGGGGGGGGGGGGGAATGCGGTTTTAGAGCAAATTGTAAACAAACTCGGTCGCTGTCCCATACAAAAATCCAACATGGCTGAATCACGAATTTGACACATTAGAACACCTATATGTAGCCACCTTGATTGGCACTAGATTGCGGAACAGAGACCGACGTTAAATAAAGGAAATAAGAAGAAGAAGAAGAATAAGAGATCTGATTCGAACAGCATTGAAAACCACATCAGTTCGAGTGGTACCGTGTTCTCTCGACTAGAACAAAACGGTTCCATCAACCTATCTGTTCCTGTTCGCTACGATAACCTCCCTGTTGATGTACATGAGCTCGACTTTCGTAGAGCAGATTTCGTCGCGCTGAGTCACTCGCTTGCCCAGGCAGATTGGCAGTTCCTTGACACGTGTTCATCTATTGATGAAGCCGTCAACTACTTCGCTGAGGTCGTCGGCCAGGCAATAACTGATTCTGTCCCATTGAGGAGACCCTCTCCCAAACCCGTATGGTCCAATGCTCGACTACGGAATTTGAAGCGTCTGAGATTGAAGGCCCTCCGTAAATACTGTCGTACTCGTAACCCATTCACCAAAAGATTATTTTCAACAGCGAGCAACGAATATCGCACATATAACCGCATTCTTTACAAGAGCTACACAAGGCGTGTGCAGGCTAATTTACGGCTTAATCCAAAGCAGTTCTGGTCATTCGTGAATACCAAACGAAACGAGGATGGGCTTACAGTCGAAATTCACCTGGGTGAGAATCGCCACCAATTCCCTTGAGAAATGTAATCTTCTGGCAGAACATTTCAAAAGCATTTTCAATGACACTACGGCTTCGTTGTCCAAAGTTGCTAAAGCGGTGAGGGACACTCCCAGTGATGCTCTTAATTTTTCGATTACCTCGGTTACAGTAGACCTCGTCGAATCCACCATCAAGAAGCTGAAATTTTCTAATGCTGCTGGCCCTGACGGGATCCCCTAAAGCATCCTGAAGCGATGCTGTACAGAGCTTACAACACCGCTTTCGAAGCTGTTCAATATTTCATTACAGCAGGGGGAGTTCCCTACGCGTTGGAAATCGGCATTCATGTTCCCGATCTACAAGAAAGGAGACAAGAGAAACGTCTAAAATTACCGAGGGATCACCGGGAATCACATCACTCAGTGCCTGCTCTAAAGTTTTCGAAATCATCATCAACGACGCATTATTCTCTAGCTGCAGAAATTACATTTCTCCGGACCAACACGGTTTTTATCTCAAGAGATCAGTTTCAACAAATCTAGCTCCGTTCATTTCTTTATGTCTTCGGAGTATGGAAGCTGGAGCGCAGGTGGACGTTGTATATACAGATCTTAAGGCTGCATTCGACCGGGTTGACCACTCCATACTGCTAGCTAAATTTCAAAAACTCGGTGTATCCTCGGGTTTAACTCGTTGGTTCAAGTCCTATCTGACCAATCGGGAACTTTGTGTTAGAATCGGATCAAAGCAATCGGACTATTTCACAAACAGCTCCGGTGTTCCTCAAGGCAGCAACTTGGGACCATTGCTGTTCTCGAATTTTGTGAATGACCGGACTGATCCTCCCAACTGGTTGCCGATCGTTCTACGCGGATGATGTGAAGATCTATGTGATTGTTCGTAGCTTCGCCGATTGCTTGCGGCTTCAGCACCTAATCGATACTTTCGAAGAGTGGTGCTCAAGAAACTATCTCACGTTGAATGTACAAAAATGTAATATTATCTCATTTCATCGCAAGCTGAAACCAGTGGCATTCAACTATACAATAAATCACCAACTTCTGCAACGTGTGGACAATGTTCGTGACCTAGGAATCACGCTGGACTGCGCCTTAACATTCAGGCTTCATTACATGGGCATCGTTGCGAAAGCTAACAGGCAACTCGGGTTCATTTTCAAGATCGCTGACGAGTTTCGCGATCCTGCCTGTCTAAAAGCTCTATACTGCTCTCTAGTGCGATCGATCTTGGAATTCAGCTCGGTAGTATGGTGCCCGTATCAAGCAGTTTGGATAGCGAGGATTGAATCTGTTCAAAGGAAATTTGTTCGGTATGCCTTTCGTCACCTTCCTTGGAATGACCCTGCGAACCTTCCACCGTACGAAGATCGTTGTCAACTGCTGGGTCTTGAAGCACTAGAACCAACAATCAATACGAAACTAACGATTTTAAATTGGCTCACCACTTTAATAGCCTATTGGTCCCAAGCAAACGATTAACGTACCCTATTCTAGTTGAAATTCTATTACTATGTTTGTTTAGATTCGCTATGAAAGTTTGACAGATAACATCAGGGGTGTGTGGATTCATGCAGAACATGCAGGGGTGAGTGAAATAGCTTGGGACTGCTTGGGACCGTTGTTCTGGTACTGAGTGAGCCAAAAATAATAATGATTTTCTTCGGGACCCAGTGGTCTTAGAGTTACCTCTATGGTACTACCAACCAGTGGAAACTAACGATTTTAAATTGGCTCACTACTTGACTAGCCTATTGGTCCCAAGCAAATCGTTTAACGTACCCCCATTCTAGTCGAAATTCTAGTACTACACTATTATTCGGATTGGGAAGGAAACACGTCCTGATAGCAGCTTACACGCAACTTCAAAGCTATAATGTATTATAATGATAAGTTCAGTATTAATAAAATATAAGTTAAACTTACATTTTCGTTTTCTTCTTCCTTTTTTTATGCGAAACAAATTATTCATTTAAGTATTCGTAGTGTCCTAGATTTAAAAAAATCATTAGTTTTAACCCAGATTTTATCGTAGGTGGAACTTACTTATGTTTATAATTAGTATCAACTTCTCGATCAACTTGCATGAACTAATAAATCATCCGTACTATTAGCGATAGTATCTATAATAGATTTTTGTATAAGTTTTCACATAGTATTCAAGATAACTGCATGTTTATTTATAATCACCTAGCTCAGCATAGCCGATTCACTTTTAACTAATTAACGCTTTAATTTTATCAACTGTAGGAATAACCTTTACTAAAATTTAGGTTTAATTTAATTCACATCAACCATTCAATCATGTTGGGTTTATGCTCCATGTGACAGTTCTGGACACGATGTTATCCCGCATAAACAATAACCATAAGAAGCGCCTAACCACCAATTCGGGATATCATCCCAACTTTATGTGGGATGGTCGTACCATCTATGATATCGTTAGAGTATGGTACCCGTTTATTAGGGATGTTCCTTGAAGTTTCTCCCACTGACGTCTATGAGTTCTCGCGTTGACAGCTACGGGCGGAACCGAACTCACCCAACTGTTGTCCGAATCAACCCTGCGGTTTAGTAACATCCCCATTCCGGACCGTCTCCAGGTATCTGAAGATCCAGAAGTGCTAACTTTACTGCAGGTCTATTGAGTAACCCGTTCTTCGTCTGCACAACTGCTCGCCAAACTTGTTCATCCGTTGCCTTGGTCACGTCCATGATCCGTCCTCTTAACCAACCGTTCCGTTTGCCTTCGTCGATGACGAGCACGAGATCCCCTGGTTCTAGAGGCTTGACTGGTTCGAACCACTTGATGCGTCTCGCAATAGCGGGCAAGTACTCACGTATCCATCGACACCAGAACTGGTCCACAAAGTGCTTCGCAAGGCGCCAACTGTCCCTCAAGCTGCTCCTGACTGAGTTCACCGAAGTTGCTGGTTGAACGACTCCCTTGGTACCAAACAGCAAGAAATGATTCGGGGTTGGCGATAGTGTGTAAACGTCAAACGCATAGGAATTGATTATGCGCGCCATATAGGTGGCGGTACTACCCCAACTACGATTCTTTTAAATTGACCGTTAAATGCTTGTTCGATGAACAACTTGCGAGTGCTATTTCTGTTTGTCTGTGCTTGCATGTTTTGTTATATATCACCGAAAAAGATGGCAAAAAAAGCAGAACTGTAACTTGACCTCTGCACGTTCGAATTTCGGTATGGGACTGATATGGTTTTCACATTTTTCATGATCAAAGACCGTAGTTTTGGTTTTATCACGTAATATGTAAGGAGATGCCAATTGATATTAGATAACGTTATCTTAAAATTGTCGAAAATCCATATGGGACTGATATGCGATTATAGGCAGTATACTGCTCTCTAGCGCAATCGATCTTGGAATACGGTGTAGAAGCACACTTAGAAATTGTCGCCGAGATCAGCAATTTTTATTGAAATCTCAATTGCTGCACTATTCGGTAAATTTAAGACAATTAAATTTAATTGTTTTAAAGTAACAATAAAAGAAAAACCACCACTACAATGACAAGATTTGATCGTTTGAATAAGGTTGAACGTGTTTTGCTTTACAGGGGAACGGTAGTGAACGAAGTTCGGCAGCTATTATAGTACAACATTCCTTGTCTACGCGCATTAATAGGTCTATTAAGTGCATTTCCGTTTCTGAACAAAACGGATTATCCATACAAACAAAACGTGCTTTTATGAAAATACGTTTCGTATAAAAACCGGAATAAGGGTGAATGATTCTGCTCTTAACCAAATATCTGGGTCATTATTCAACTAGTTGTTCAAGGATTTTCGAAGAAACGAAATATCAACTAAGTACAAGCCACTAGGCTGCAACAGTTCATTGTTCGGTTTTACGCAACATGCGAATTCTATGCCTAAAATCTACTACCTTGAGTCAGTGTGATGCGTACCTACCGGGGAGGAGTCCTACATAATCTTCTCCAGCTTCAATCCCAGTCGACCTTTGCCCACGTCGATCGAGATCACCGTCACCTCCACTTGATCGCCGATGTTGACGCGCATCCCGTTCATCTTGCTGCGATGAATTAGTCCATTGGTTTCCACGCCGATATCGACAAACGCGCCGAAATCGGTGACATTGTTCACCGCTCCGGTGAGAACGGTTCCCTCTGCCAGGTCTGCCATGGAGGTGAGCCCCTTTTTGAACATTGGTGGTTTGTTGATGTCAGCTCGATAATCTCTTAGCAGCTCCCGTTGCAGCGCCGACAGAACGCACTCGATTCGCTCTATCGGGTGGCCGAACATGCCCGGCAACGAATTTTTTGGCGTACGATAAGCGAAATCTCGAACTGCCAGGATGAAATCTGTGCGACCAATATCTTTGTTAGAGAGACCTGCTTTGGTGATGATGCCTTCCGCTAGGTCATAACTTTCCGGGTGAACCCACGTTGAGTCAAGTAGGTTGTATTCCCGGATGCCGGCAGTTAGTGGTTCGATGCGTATGAAACCGGCGCACTGAGTGAATGTTTTGTCGCCGATGAATTTCACCTTCAGCAGCTGATCTCGACTTCGGAATGGTCCGTTGCGGGTGCGATGCGAAACGATGTGTTCGGCCCGTTTGGCCGTCAATCCGGAAACATGGCTCAGCAGACTAACGGAAGCTGTGTTGATGTCTACACCGACAAAGGACACGCACTCCATCACCACTTCATCTAGCGTTTCCGAGAGGGATTTTTCGTTGAGGTCGTGCTGGTACATTCCGACACCGAGATGGCGCGGTTCTATTTTTACGTACTCGCACAGGGGGTCCTGCAGCCGGCGGGCGATTGACACTGAAAATTAAAGTTGCGTTTTAAATCCAGCTCTGTAGCCGAAGACTCGATCTTACCTGCACTGATCAGATTGACGTCCATTTTGGGGAATTCCTTTTTGGCAGTTTCGCTGCAGGAATAAATCGATGCGCCCTGTTCCGGCACAATACTGTACCGGACGAATCGTTTGTCCAGAATTCCTTCGTCCATCATGTAGGAGAGCATCGATTCGGTTTCCCTGCAAGCGGTTCCGTTGCCAAGTGCGATCAAAGCACAACCATGCTTACGCATCATGTTGGCTATAATGCCCGGAGCTACCTTGGACCGCTCGCCGCCAATGTGAGGATAAACCGTGGCCGTATCCAGCAGATCTCCGCACTCGGAGATGAGGGCCAGCTTGCAGCCGTTGCTGAAGCCCGGATCGATGCCGATAATCTTTTCTCCCTTCACCGGTGCTGTGAGCAGCAGTTGCTTCAGATTGTTGGCAAATACTTCGACGGATGCTTTCTCAGCTCGTTTGGTAAGATCCGATCGAACGGTGCGGCTCATCAAGGGGACCACTGCGAATGGTGAAAGGTTGTGTGATAAAACATAGCTAGTGATGGTAATCCTATTTTATGATAAAAAACGCCCTTATACAACATGCGTTCGATTTTGACAACATTCATTTCGTTTCTAACAAATTTAAGTAAGTGTAATAGAACTATCAAATAGGGAGTAGGATATGAAAGTGCACATTAACAGAATATAATAAACATCAAAAAACGCGTTGCCAACATCAGATGCACCCGGTATATATTTACCAGCAATAAAGTTTTATTGAAAAGTTCTAACCTACAAACCCACACATAAAGGCACTTACACTTCTTGTTAAACGCCTCGTCGAAGGACGACTCGAACAACTCCGTTCTCTTGCGAGATGCCGTCCCCTCCTGAAGGTACTCCCTTTTGAGGAACCAGTACAAATCACCCTTCACATTGTCCTTAAATTGTAGCTTAATACTGAGCACCTTCTGGTTCTCGCCCCGGTTGATAGCCATTATTTGATGCGACCGCAAATATTTGGTACAGCAATTGAAGCTGAAGTAATGCTCAAACTTGTGCTCGTCGACCTTCTTGGGAATTCGTTTGAGACCAGTTTTAGAGTTATTGTTTGCTTCTTCCTTCTCCCGAGCGGCGCGCGATTTTGTGATTTGAGTCGAGCTTAACATGATGTCATATTTTGTAATGCTAGAAAAAATAGGCAAACCATTACAAGTCAATTCCCACCGTGCCGATTGCATACTCACAGTCTTCGAATCTCTTCCAGCACTGCAGTATTCTTGCTAAAGTTATGTGCCATCAAATGCTTGATCCCTTCCTCCACCTTTTCTACCGTTTCAAGCCCTTCAATATCCGGTTTTACCAGTTCCGGCAAATCAATTGTCGGTAGACTTCCTATAAGAATCCCTTCTGCAATGTTCTCCAAACCAAGAGCCTTGGCCCTGTCAGCCAAAGAACCTTTATTGGCCGGTTTGAAGGGTGCGTACATGTGATCCAACTCGTCAACGGTTTTCGCGCACAACAGATCTTGCTTAATATCTTCCGTTAGCTTCTCTTCCTTCTCCAGATTCTTGATAATGGTATCGGCTTTGGATTTGATCGATTGAATCTGACTGTACGCTTGCTTAACGTCACGCAAATCATCAGGGCTCAAGTCTCCGATCAGTTCCTTCCGGTACCGACAAATAAAAGGAATCGTATTCTCCTCGTCGAACAACTTTATTATCGTGCGAGCAGTATGCCGATCAATGTTTTGCATCTCAGCTAGAAGCTCATAATCTTCCCACTGATCTCTAACCGACATGCTAACTCGCTTCTTGTACTTGGGCCTAGAATCGATCTCATCGTAAGGTTCGGCCTTGTGCTTGGGCATAGAATCCATCTCATCGCCAGGTTCGGCCTTGTATGGATCTTGTTCCACCTTCACTTGCTCCGGAACCGCTTCCACCGGTTTTTCGTCTAGTAATTCTACGTCCTCATCCTTCACTTCCTCTTTAACTTCTGCGTTTTCTCCAACGGGCGGTTCTTCAACCTTCTTCCGACTACGCTTTGTTCCTGTAGCTTTGGGTGCTTTCGGCGCTTTGGGTGCTTTCGGCGCTTTGGGTACTTTCGGTGCCTTGGGAGCCTTCGGCTCTCTCGGCTTCCTCACTGCCTTCGGTTTTGGCTCCGGCTTCGGCTTCTTTGCCGGACTATCAGCAGCCTTTGCGGCACTTTTCCTTTTCACAGGTGGTTTCCTAAAATCACAAAACCTGTAATAAGCATTCATTCCCTCGTCACCTCCCGACCCCCTCAGAACCCAACCCATACACTTACAGCTCCGCCACTTTGCTTTCGTCGAAATCGGAATCGTCGCTGCCGGCGGTCCGTGGACGTTTTGTCACCCGACCTTTGGGCTTCTTCGGCATGTCAGGACTCGAAAAGATTCCCTCCGGATCGCTATCTTCCTGTTCCGACTCGGAGTCGGATTCGATTACGATCGGTGCCTTGGTAGCGGCACGCCGCGCCCTTGTCGACATGGTTTATCGGAGTTTTGAGCACTAATATCACTTAAATACGAAAGGATTACAATTTCGGAATGACCTAGCTTTATGGCACGTGGATTTCCAATGTTTCACAAGGGCAAGAACTGGGATTTTCACTGGCAAATCGACGATAAATATTGACGGTTTGAAATTTTCGCAGATTTTTTGCCGGTGCTTGACGTTTACTTGAGTAGCTTTAAAATGCGAGGTAATGTTGCGTCCCGAGGTAGCCTCATTTTTTTTTCGGTTTTCTCGACTTATACGTCTGAGTAAGACGTTTCACTCTATTTCAATTCTACTCAGTGACTGAGTAGAATTTTATGGAACACTCTTTTTCTTGCACGGAAATTCTACTCAGTTGCAGATCAAAAGGGAGTTTACGTCGAGGTTTACTCAGCTACTGAGAAAGATTCCCTTTGAACCACAACTGAGTGCATAAGATTTCCGTGAGAGATAAAGAGAGGGCAAATAGAGTGTTCAGGTTGCAAAAGGGCTAACGTCGTATACGTCTTTAGCTAAGAGGAAGAGGAGACAACTGGCTTTTTTTGGTTTGTGCTGTGTTCTTCTTCTCTTGTGGAAAAGACCGTGCAAAAACTATGTCATTATGGTCGACGCAGTTGACTGTCAAAATACAAGAAAATAGATTCCCAGTTGTAAAGATTCTCGCGTTTCTATACGTTCGCTCGACCAATCAGACACTGCAAGAGAAAGTCGATAAAGAGAATCGATCAAAGCAGATAGGACCATTTGAAATGTTCATCGAGCATTGACTTATTCTTGCCGCAAGATTTCACTAATACAACGTTGCTAGTGTAGCGGTGTAAAATCGATTTGTTTATTATTTTCAACCACGAAATCAGCTGTCAAAATGTTCGACTTGACAGCGGTTTGTTTTTTATTTTCAACCAGTAAAACGCTTGTTTAGTGAAATTGCTTACTAATACCACAGACAAACAGACATAACACTCACAAGTTACTCATCGAACAAGCATTTAACGGTCAATTTAAAAATATCTCAGTTGGTAGTACCACAAACGAAGTGACGGACGACTAACTGGCAAAGAAATCAATTGGCAAATCAAAGTTGGCACTCGTGGATAATCTCGTGGATAATAGAAGAACTATGAGAGTGATGATGGTTTCATAATTTTACACGGTGAGGTATACGAGTGCAATCTTAAAATGCTTTTTTTTTTGCAAATGGAGCATTTTTTTTAAATCTCGTTAATCCTACGTTAGTAGAAAACTTAAGGATTTTTATGTGTAGGCATAGATTTCAGCTTTTCTACAACTGTAGCAGCAACCAGATTTAAATAAAATGCTCCATTTCCAAAATAAAAGCATTTTAAGATTGCACTCGTATACCTCACCGTGAAAAATTTTGAAACCATCATCACTCTCATAGCAAAGATGAATACTAAGATGAAACTGTCAGAAGAAAAACTTCCTATTTTAGTGTCCTCTTTCACGGTCCCTTTCATCCAATGAGTACCTCCGTATTCAAGGTAATTTTGTGGTTTTGCTTTCCCCTCGGTAGAGATGAAATTTTGCGCTCATTTTGATCAAATCAATGACACCAAAATCAGAGATGTCCTATTTTTTAAATACTCGATTAAAAACTAATCGATTATTTTTTTGTTCGCTGTGCTGCCATTTTTCCACCAATGAGAATGCAGCACATGTTTGAAACGATCGGTGATGATCCTCTGGAGATGTTAATGCTTATCTCGATGCTTATATCGGCATGATATAACCGATTACGAATATTTTACTTTTCGGTTCGTTAATCGATTAATCGATTATTCGAATGAAAATCGGTCATCACTAGATGAATGTGAAACGTCATTTGAAATTTAAGGCCGTACATAAAAGGGACCGGGGCTAATCACAAATTACGTCCCCATGGTAACAGAAATAAACACGAGTGCTCACCGGTTGCTCATAGTTCTTCTATTCTCCACGAGTGCCAACTTTGATTTGCCAATTAAAATAATGTGGTTCTTTGTAATTGAATAGCAGTTTGGCAAGGGCAAGTTTGACAGATAAAATGAGGGGTTATTGGTTTTTCCTATGTTTCGAGGGGTGAATCGATTAGCTTGGGACCGAAGAGAGCACCAGAGCCTCGACCAGAGCTGAGCCAAAAAGTTGAGCACGTTATTTCGGGACCTTCTAGTCTTAGAGTTACATCTATGGTGGTAGAGCGTTAGAGTGGGGCCTGACCAATTTGAAAATTGTAGGGGAGAATGGCACATAACGCATCCCTGGGGTAGAACGCACTTTTTCATTTATTTTTTAATTTTTCTTGGCATTTTTAATCAAATTCTAGGATTTATCATACAGAATTTTGAGAAAATTATCCACGGCCCATACAAATTTGGTCGAACGTATAGAAACGCGAGAATTTTTACGGGGAATCTATTTTCTTGTATTTTGACAGTCGACTAATGAAATAGGCCTTTTTAATAGAAACTAAACGATCGATTCAACCTCTGGTGTTGAATAGGAGAACGTCAAAAAGAGTGTTGTGAGCATAAATTTTTGCCTTGAGACATAGGAAGCGGAACACTTTTTTCCTTTTTCTGATAAATGGATTCATCTGAGATGCTGCAAAACTTAATCTACAGTTGAAAAGTTTAATTCTGTAACGTTTTTGAAAATATCCTGCTGGTGTTCAGGAATATTTTTGTTGAGAAACATGGAAAATTAGAAAAGTGCCTTAGTGGTTATGATCTTGCGGATTTCTTGTGTGTGAATAGTTAAGGTGCAAATCAGTTCAGATTTGTGGAAAATCGTACAATAAGACAATTACCGATGGAAATTGGCAAGATTTTGAATGAAAAATGCTGTTATTTGCTTTGTTGAAAATACTTATTCTGATGTAAACAAACGGTTTGGTTGACGTTTCTTCTCGAACGCCGTGGCGCACTCTACGTTGGTGGTGCATTAAAAAGGCGTATAGGCGAATCCAATAGAAACTAAGCGATCGATTCAGCCTCTGGTGGTGAATAAGGAAACCATCAAAAGATTGATGAGGGCTGAAATTTTCGCCGTGAAGCATAGGAAGAGGAAAATATTTTTACCTGTTCTGATTAATTTATCCATCGCAGGTGCTTGTAATCATCATCCACATGGAATATTTTATTTTCTGTATCGATTTTGCAGTGATCCGGGTGCTTGCACATATTTTTGTTAAAAAAAGTGAAGATTTATAAAACTACCCCAGCGGTTGTGATGTTCCGTATTTTTAATTTGGTGTTATTTGAGCTGTAAATCCGTTCAAATATGTGAAAAATTATTAAATAAGACCCCTCACGATGGAAATATACAAGATACGTATTGCAATATGCGTTAATTTGAGATGTAAAAATGGTAATTTTGATGTAAACAAACGGTTTGGTTGACGTTTATTCTCATAATCGCCTAGCGAACTCTACATTGGTGGTGCATAGAAACAGCCTATAGTTTTTGCACGGTCGTTTCCGCGAGAGAAGAAGAACGCGTCACAGACAAAAAGAAGCCAGTTGTCTCCTCTTCCTCTACCACTACCATTCCAGGGGCCTGTTCCTAGTTTCAAGGGGCTGTCACTACTCAATGTCTTTATATAAGGTCCGGGCCAACAGGCTTATTGGTTTAGTGAAATGTGCAAATGTTTAGTAGTGTTCGTATTTCATTGAAATGTTTATCTTTTTACAAGAAACAGCTGTTGGCAGTGATGTAAATTTCACTGTTTGCAGTATGGAATGTTATGGTAGAGTGACGTCGCAACTTGAGTGCTCAGCAATATTTACAATATTTTTGCTTCTAACACCAGCAACCTGCTTGTTCGCCCGGACCTTATATAAACGTCACTACTGGTCACTACTTATTTCCTAAGAGGAAGAAGAGGCAACTGGCTTCTTACTCTTTTATCTCTTTCTCTATCTATATCTTTCTCTATCTTATGCACTTCAAATAGGCCAATCACGAGCTGGTTCACGTTTGACAGAAAAGTGGATCATTTTCGCCTCGTATTGTCTCCTCTTCCTCTTAGCTTATTTCCAACAATTTTCTCACCGTGTTTCTCACAGGTATAAAACGTGAAGCGCCGCGTACAGTGCACCCAGATCTGATCCGTGGCAACAAACTGACTGCTATGTATTTTCTTTAAGTTCCAGATTTTTCGCAGATTCTGATCTAGATGCATTGTGCGTGGCTCTTTACAGTAAACAATCGTTGCTAATTATATATTTTCAAGTAAAATCTGCACTTATTATAATTTTGAATGACACAATCAACACACTCACAAAAACGTTCATTTAAAAAAATCCCTCCCTTACTTCTCCAATCGCATACTACTAAGCTCCAGATCTTTCAAAGTTATACCAAACTTGGCCAACTTTGCTTCCATCATCGACAGCAGATCGTCGTACATCTTGCTGACCCGAGCCAGTTCATAGCGCAAATCTTGGATTTTGTCATTCTTTTGAACCAAAAGCTTCTCAATACGGATGCTCAATGATTGCGGTTCGATTCCCGCTAGCGACAGAACCTCTCCTAGAATTGCCTCACGTTGTTCTGTTTGCTTTTCGATGTATTCCAGCTTCCTTTCAAGCAAAGAGTTTTTCAAACCTGAAATTTAGAAAGATGGCTATCTAACAAACGAAACCTCAAATTTGAACAGTTTATCCACAGACAAACAGACATAACACATTGCATATTTTTCAATATAAACCATCGTCGCTAAAACACTATCAACGTCGCCTGAACACAACGCAAGCAAATTGACCGTTAAATGCGTGTTCGATGAACAACTTGCGAGTGTTGTGTCTGCTTGTCTGTGGTTTATCGATATACCTGACTTCTGTTGCAGCTCCAGGATGGATTTTTCAAACATATTCTTCAGCTGGTCACGCTCTTCGACCAATTTTTCACACCGCATCTGCAGCACATCCGACTCGAGCTTCAGGCTGCTCAATTGCTTTTGCGTTGAGCTGAGGCGAGTTTTCACTCGATTCAGGGTGGCCTTATCGCGATCGTAATACTGCAGTTTCTTGCGCAACTCAACGAGCTCAGTTTGTGACTGTTTCAAAGGCTCCACAAGCTTCCTGTTCTCACCCATCACTTCCGCGTGGCTTTTCAGATCCTTGTCCGATTGGATTCGCAGTTCTTCCATCTGCTCTTTCATGCTATTTATCAGAGCCAGGTTGTTTAGCGTGATATCGTTGTAGTAGCCTTTCATTTCCTTATATGCGTTTTCATTGGTTTGAATCAGTTCAGCAATTTGGCCATTCTTGCGTTCCTCGACTTCGGATTGTTCCATTTCGTGACGAACTTCGGCATCCTCCTTGTAGCTCTGTAGTCTCTGCTCGAAAAGTTTAGTCATCGCTTCGATTTCCTCTTTGAATTTGGCGCGCTCTCGACTTAGCAGTTCACTGTGCTTCAACTTGAGCTGTTGTACTTCGAGTTCGGAGTTCTCTTCCTTCTCTCGCAGCAACCGTCGCAAGTCCCGTTTATCGTTTAGCAGTTCCCGTTCCTGTAGTGAATGGTCCTCTTGAGCCATCTTGAGCTGTGTCATCATTTCCGCCTTCAGCTCCCCGATGTGTGACTGATGCTCGTACTGCAGGTGCTTCATCTCCTGCATCACATTTTTCGTATCCTGATCGGCTAGCTCTTGGGCCACTTCAACGTCACGTTCTTTATTACGGATCACGGCTTTCGCTTCTTCCAGCTGTTTGCGCGTGATTTCCCAGAACGTGCGCAGTTTGTCCCGCTCCAGCTGGAAGAAGTTTCGCTCCTCACGTTCCCGTTCCATTTCGTTGCGGAGTCGGAGCGCAAACTGTTCTAGCTGTTCGCGGGACATACTGGATGTGTCCACGCCATCGATGACCGCTGGTTGGAGGGAAGAAGGATGGATCGGGAACTTTTAGTCAAATGAGGAAGGCTTGTGGTAAAGGAAAGCATACTTACTGCTTCCTTTGGCTTTTTTGGGACCCTGCAAAAAGAAGAAGATGAAGATGATGATTTGAAGTTAGTTGGTCGTTTAAGAGGCCCCCGGGGAAGTCGAGAAATTTTCCATCCCGAAAAATTCCTAGACTGGAATGGGCGTACCCAGCCATTTGCAGTATGACGCCTTTACCGACTGAGCTAAGGGAGGTATCTTTTGCAACGCAATTGCCAACATCACGTTAACGACGCACAACGCACTGTATCTTGGAAGCCAGCCTGTGGCCCTGGTCCTGGCAGTCAGTCTAAGCTAAGCTAAGCTTCGTGATATGCGTATGAAGATCGACGAGCTTAGATCTAGTCAGTAAAGACGCGGTATTACCAAGCCGGAGGCATTTTCCATCGATTCCTGGTCTGGTATAGAACATCTTTTGGGTTGGACATTTTCTCGACTTCCCTGGGCATAGAGTATCATTGTACTTGCCACACAATAAACAATTTCATGCATTGGTTGGCATAGAAACTCAACAAACAATTTTAGCTGCAGACTAGCTTATACAGACAAAAATTAGGGTAGATGTACCAGTTATGGTTATACGTTCCTATTATGGTGTGTTCCAATTATGGCCTATGGGAATTCCATAGGCCATAATTGGAACACACCATAATAGGAACGTATGACCAAAACTGGTACACTCACCCTAACACTTTAAGCATTTGTAAAAGATTATCTGCAGCTAACGTTGTTAGTTGGGAAGCTATCAATTGATAACTGTGGAAGTGAATCTAGAACACTAATAGCGAATTCGTTTATTATCGGGGTTGGAACCAGTTCCAACCCGTGCGAACCCGAACTTTTTGTCAGTGCGAACCTCGACCCGTGCCAGGTTTTAAAAACAAACGATCAAACTGACGTTTGCTAGAAAACAAGCAGACACAATCTTGATACCCGATCCAGGTTGGAACTGAATAATAAACGAATTCGCTATAAGTTGGGAGCTCGAAAATGCTCGCTAGAGAATCGCAAAGCGTAAGGAAGAAGAAAAGCTACGTAATCAGCGAAAAGAGTAGATCACGGCTGAAACCTGGTGGAAGAAAGAGCAGCGTAGAGAAGCAAAAATAATGATAGAGCGGACGAGAACCAAAGGAGCCAAGAACAAGGATCGTCAACGGTCCGGGCTCTATAGAAGGAAGTCAAGCGCTCCTGCAGACGGGGCAAGCGAGCATGGGTGAATAACTAGCGATAAAGGTGAGAAAGCCACAAGAACTTGCGATACCCGCCTGTTATACGATATCACACGACAGCTGAGTGGAGCAAGGATGAACCAACCAGTAGATGTTAGCGAAAGACATGACTGGAAAGTTGCTTACCGACTCCACTGACCAGCTGAAACGTTGGTTTGAGCACTTCGAATTTTTTTTTTCAAGTTACGACGACCAACTAGTTATCAACATCTCGGCATGATCACCTCCGACGCTTCAGCACTGCAGGAGATACAAGAAGCATGAAATCAAACAATGCTCCGTGGTCGATCGCATATCAGCAGAGATGCTCAAAGCTGATACCATGCTCAAAAGTTGCATACATTATTTAGTAATATTTGGGACTTTTCCTGCTAAGTAATTCACTTATCACACAAATATTGGTCAAGGTTTATGTTAAAAAAAATGCAGTGAATAATATAAACTTTTATATGATTTGTAATATCAACATATTATATCAATTTCACATTTATAATCCTTAATGACACTATATTCAATTACAATGGGGAAGGGGGGATAAAGGGTATCAAACAAATTGTAGGCTGGAGGAGGGAGTCGTGGTTACATGGGAGATAGTTATGCCTTCTTTGATGGAAATCCTTGGATCGATATTATAGAGGGTATAGTTATCTTCTGACATGCTACAGTGAGTTTGATGCACATTATTTCGAACAAACCACCAGACGAAAATCTTATGGTGATAAGCTCCAACCGGTATTATCCTCGGATTAAATCCCAATCAAGACTGTCCGGCTGCTTTAATGTCAACATCAGAGTTAATCAAAACCACTCTAAGCAAACACTTAGCACAGATCATCTAAACAGGGACGGTATTAAGAGTTAATCCGAGTTGGAGCTTACCACCACTAATGTAGAACTGATGCTGATCCTCGAATTATAAGCTATGCGAGCAAAAGCCTAACCATAACCGAGAAACGTTATTGCCAAACAGAGAAGGAGGCGCTAGCGTTGGTATGGTCAGTGGAAAAAATTTCAGTTTATCTGGTTGGCAGAGAATTTGAATTGGAGACAGATCATAAGCCGTTAGAGATCATTTTCTCACCTTCATCCACGCCGTGTGCTCGAATTGAGCGGTGGGTATTAAGGCTCCAATCCTCCAAGTTCACCGTGAAATATCGGAAAGGTTCTGGAAATATTGCTGACTCACTGTCTCGGCTGGTAGTAGCAGAGGATCCTGTTGAATTCGAAACGGACAACCATTTCTTAGTTCTCGCTGTTCAGGAATCAGCGGCGATTGATGTAGGGGAAATTGAAGTTGCTACTAGATCGGACCCTGAACTTAAAGCTGTTAAAGATTGTCTCGTATCAGGAAACTGGAATAACCAATTAGTGAAGCCATTTGAACCATTCCGAAATGAGCTAGGTTTAATTGATGATACGATTGTAAGAGGGAATTAAGTAGTTGTACCTCGAGAACTTCGACCACGAATGCTCCAGCTAGCTCATGAGAGTCATCCAGGGGAATCGATCATGAAAAGGCGCTTGAGAGATCGGGCCTGGTGGCCAACTATGGATCGTGAAGCAAAAGATTACGTTTCGTGCTGTGAAGGTTGTCAGTTAATCGGAATGCCAAGTAAACCGCTCCCAATGAGCAGACGAGAATTGCCAACAAAACCTTGGATTGACGTTGCAATCGACTTCATGGGACCTCCTCATTCAACAACCGGGAAAACCCCAACAGAACTGTGCTACGGGTGTACCATCAGATTCAAGTTGCCTTCAATCGAGGACATTGAAACCACACCAGCAGCATCAGATTATCGTGACCTGGACAAGATCAACAAGAAAAAAGGAAAAGAAAAGGAGGACAGAAGGCGACACGCTCAGGAGTCAGACATCGAAATGCCATCAAATAAACTAGCAACAACGAATAATAAAACTAAATATACGGTGGTAGATCGCGCAGGGCCGAGGGCTATGGTAAGAGACCAGGACACAGGAAAAACATTCAAAAGAAACATTGCACACTTGAAGAGAATTGGGACTCCACCAACAGAAGCTGCATCTAGTTCAACTGACACTTCATGTTCTGGCAAAGACGCAGCTACAACCACTGCTGACCTAGTAACACCATGTGCATCAAAACCTATGGTTAGTACATCACTATTTGAAGAAGATCAAGCTATGTTGAAAGCCGAGACATCATCTGCACTTAACCGAGAAATCACTGGGATGTTTGATAAAAGGTTTGAGATTGCAACAGGATTCGTTTTGGTAATATTTCAATGGAATTGCGAGAAGTATTCAAACTATATTCATGTGATATTTTTTAGAGAATTCAGAGAAGCGTTCCAAGTGAATTTAAGAAATAATTTCATTAGAGTTTCGGGAGAATACGAGCGAATAATAAGGAGAGCTCCAAGCGAATTTGCATGAGAAATCTCAGTTGAATATGTAATGGACTATTCTGAGGTCTCCAGAACAACTTAAAAGTTCTCAAAATATTCCTGAAGTTACTGGAACTGCTTTGAAGTTCAATTGTAGTTCGCCTGATGTTCACAATACTTCTCATCAATGTTTTAAACTTCTCTAAACTTTTTCGAACTTCCTAAAATTTCCAAAATTTTCCTAACGATCATGAATCTTTTCTAAAGTTTTAAAAATTCACGGAATTTCTCGATTTTTTTTTAAATTTATTTAATTTTGCTGCTCTGGAATATCTCTGCTCTGTTCTTTCTTGAAGTTTTTTTAGAGCTTTATTAGCGAGATCAATATGTTTCTTGAACCCCTCGAAACTTCTCTTAAGTTCTTATGAAGCTTGTTGTGCCACCCTGAATTTAATTGAACTGCTCTAAAAATGTTTAAGCTTCCGTGAACTTCTGGGCTTACGTAAAAACCTCAATAATTTTCTTAACATCCCTAAAGTTCTCTGAAAATCTGGTAACTTTTAAAAATTTCCGCTAATTTAGTGAAACTAATGGAACTGAACTCCCCTAAAATTTCCCTTGTTTTTGGAGCTTTACTAATCTTATTTGAAATGTTACTGTCCATATAAGTTTCTGAAGTTCTCGGATCTTCCCTTAAGTTCGATACACTTTTATGAAGTTTTCGAAGTTATTCAGAAATTTCAGGAAATTCTTTAAGCTCCCGCAACGAAATAATTAATATTGTTCGATGATTTTCACTGAAGTTCTTAAGATTTGTCTGAAGTTCAAATTATCGAAACTAATTAAGAACTTCTTCCTGATGTTTTTATAAAACTGCCCAAAATATTTCCCAATTTCCTTAAATTCTCTATACTGCCCTGAATATCTTAGTATTTTTTTAAAAGAACCCACCACTTTACTGGAATTGATTGAATTGCCTTTAAGTTCTACAATTTTCCCTATGTTTTATAATGTTTATATACGCTCGGAACTTTGCCTCAAACCACTAATTTTCCCTGGAAAGACCAACCCAGAAATTTTCTATGCTTACCTTAACTTCTCTAAATGTTCCGGTAAATTTTCTGATATATATATATATATTTAATTCCCTGAATCTTCTAAAGTTTTCAGATCACTGATAGAATTCTCGGAATATCCCAAAATTCCAAGAAACTTCTTGCAAGTCGCAGCAAATTTCCTTAAGTTAATAAGATTTTTCTGATCGTCCTCGGAACTTCACTGAATATAATGAAACAATCTAAAAGTATCTAAATTTCTAAGAAGTTCTCTGGAAACATCTTGAAATTTCCATGATATATACGCTGACATTTACCGGATGTTCATATAATTTGTATTGAGTTCCAGAAATTTTCTCTGAGCAAAACTGAAGTTTCCAGAA